GACTGCCTCCTGGTCCAAGTATAGGTTTCGCATTAGAACGATCAAGTGTTCTGGGATTCCCATTCTTCTCAGAGTCATAGCATCCACATTTTTGCTGATTGGAAAACTATTCTAGAGAAGTTAAATAAACCACACAACACCCACTCTCAGGAGGGACTGTCCATCTCTGTCACCTATGCTGGTTTTCTTTTTATCCAGATTTCTTAGGAACTTGTTTTCCAGCATATCTGGCATTACTCCTGATTATTTTTCTTATCATTAAAATAACCATTACTTTTCTTTGATGCATAGAGTAAGGTAGAATCATATTAGTGGCATTATTATAAAGCATAGTGGTTATAAGCGCTGATCAGCATTAGACTGCTTGAACTTAATTCTTAGCCACCACTTGTTTCCGTTTCTTTATCTAGTGATTGAATGACCATTACTACCAAGCTTTTATTAAGTGCTCAGCACATGCTGCTGTTGTGTACCGTTGAGATGGAGCCGACCCATAGCTGGCCCTCTGGCAGGTTTTCAGAGGCAGTTAATCATACAGAAAGAGATCACGCATCCTTCCCCAGCAGCTGGTGGATTCACATCGTGCGCTTTTGGGATTGCAGTGCAACTTCTTGCCACTAGGCCAACAGGGCTCCCCTTCAATACATGGTAGCCATCAGTTTTCATTGGTTTCTCTGTATTAAGGATACATATGTAGCTGGTATCAGATCCTGCATTCAGTTAAGTAGGAGCGCTGTTTTATAGGATAGAGAAAAATAAGGATATATATTTTATTTATTTTACACCTATAGTGACTCAGAACCTGAATGCCATTTGTGAGGACTGTTGTATGACTATCCATGACAGTAACTACTTTTTTGGTCCTGTTTGTAGGTTGTCTCTCAGTATTCCAGTCTGCTTTCTCCCATGAGCGTGAATGCAGTAATGAGAGTGATTGACCCAGCCACAGCTACTAGCGTAGATCTTAGAGATATTAAAATAGTTAAGAAACTTGGGTAAGCATCACTAATTGAAGCTTTTATTAGTGGAAATGAATTTTGAAAGTAAACATAAGTTGGTCAAGTGACTTACTGAGTCACAAATTGGATTTGTGGGTGGTTTTGTGGGGGGTTTTTTTGGTAGTTTTTTTTTTTTATTATTTTCTTGAAAATTTAGACTAATGAATCAATTTCAAATTTTGTTTCTTAAAAAAATTTTTTTTTTTTCCTTTAGATGGCAGGGCAGTAATGTGATCAGATAGAGCCAGTATTGGTGCTCTAGTAAATAGGAGTGAGGAGAAAGCCTGTTTATTGTGTTAGTGCTTTGGGATATGTTAACATTCTTAACCCCAGAGGTTTTCCACTTCACTAACCTCACCTCATTTTGTTTTTTAGGGGGACAATTGATGACTCTGAATTGGTAGAAGGACTGGTACTTACCCAGAAGTTGGCAAGTTCTAGCATAACCAGGGTTGAAAAGGCTAAAATTGGGCTTATTCAGTTTTGCTTATCTGCTCCAAAAACAGATGTAAGTAAGAGTCTACCAAAATTCTCTGTGTGAAACTTCCCAATAATTCCAGTTTTATTAGTAATAAAAATTAAGAATGCTAATGGTTATGTAGCTTTCTGGATCTCTTTAAATGCGTTTCTGTATAATTTCTTGTGTGGGGTGATTTGGGCTCAACTTATACATACTTTTTCCCCCACTTAAAAAGTCAGTTTGCTTAAAATGCAAAATTGTTTTAAACAGATGGATAACCAGATAGTAGTTTCTGACTACGTCCAGATGGACCGAGTGCTGCGAGAAGAGAGAGCCTACATTCTCAATTTGGTGAAGCAAATTAAAAAAACAGGATGTAATGTCCTTCTTATCCAGAAATCTATTCTAAG